GCCACACCCAAGGTGGCTTCCTTATCCACCTGCGGATCCCCTGGCTCTGCCCTCTGGGGAAGATGGGGCTTGGTGATACTGGTTGTCACAGAGCCCCAGTGTAAATGGGCAGATGTGAATGCAATAGGATTTAAAGATTATGAAGATCCTGGGTACCATCCACTATGCAAGAGATGAAAAAACAGAGAGCCTGCAGCTCTGACAAGTTCTAGCAGTACAGAAATAATCAATATCAGAATAGATGCCGTGCACTGGTTTGCTGCCTTCAAAATGTACTAACATAAATGCAGACTCACAGTGAAAGCTTACTATAGCAGCTACATTTTCCTCTGCTGAGTCATGCAATCTCCTGCACCTCTCACCCCTGAAGAAGGGGTATTCTGTTGCCCCTGAAATGTTCATCTTCTTCAAAGGCAATGCAAAGAGAATTGACGCTAAGCAAAGTGCTGTAAACTACAGAATTTTAGTTAGAAATCCTCTATTATTGAATGCCATTGCATCTATTTGAACTGACCATAGATTGCTATTACATCTGAACGGACTGGCCAGAGAGCCATAATATGTGAATGGACTACTTGGTTTCAGATTTACCTACAGGTGGTGCTGCAGGTAAAACCTGTGGTCACAGCTTCTGGTTCCAAAAAAACTGGGCAGCCATAGAAAACAAACAGAGCTTCATGTTTTGTTGTAGGTGTCACTGCATTTGCGTGTGCCGTATTTCATAGTACTTAAGTACAGTGTTTTCTTTTAACCAGGGGAAACAAAAAAAACTTTAGTTATAGTGCTATAGTTACAAACAGGCATAAAGGGTATTCTGTAAATCCACAGAAAATTTGGCCAACACACAATTGAAAAGTACAGGTGCAAGGAGTGTGCTAAGACTCAAAGTAAACACCACTGGCTTTTGTGCTTTTTTTTTTTTTAATGAAAGAAGTTACCTTTCTGACTGAGAAATTTATTACCTTTAAATATTTGCAGCTCTCAGCCCACAGTACAGAGCTCCACTTTGTATTATTTCCGGACAAAAGGGCTGGCTTGTGGTAACAAGCAGATGCTTGAGTGGACCGTACGGCATAAGGTATACTATCAATCAAGAAAGCCAATATTTGCTGTACTAGTATCTTTGTGGCGTACATTCATCCCGCTTGTAAATTGGGCTGTGTACTATATGATATGTAACCCTCTTACTGGATTTACTTAGTCATTTCTGAAGTGCGGTGTGTGTGGAGGATGTTAGTTCTTCCTGCTTTGGAATACTTAACTCTTGAAACTCTTTACTTTAGTCACTGGGTGGATAGATAACATTATGCCAGTCTGCCTCTTCTATTACACTGCAGTAGCTTCAGTGTGGTGTAGAGCAACTTCCAACTAATGTGTTATATTTAAAAAAAAAAATACATTTCCTACCCCTAGCAGAAAATATTGTTGATTTTATCGGGTTAAATGGATACACTTTTTTTTAAAGTTTTAAATAAAGTGTAAATACCATTTTTATTGATCATTGCTTACCTGCTGGGTGGATTTGACAGTTGCAATGACCTGACAGTTGTCAATTTAATAAGAGTAGAGTAGAAATCTCCTACTATGAGACAAGTGCTTTAGTAAAAACTGTCAAAAATTTGATTTTCCCTCACTTTGGGGAGATTTCCTCTTATTTCCTTTCGTGTCAGCGGGAAAAGGTTTTGTCTGAAAATTAAAATGTAGTTCAAATGTTTCAGTCAAATTTGAGAAACTCCCTTTTCTTTGTTTATCAGTCATACGGCATACCTAAAGTAATTAAAACATATTTCTAGTCTTTTAGAGCCCACCTACAAGACTCTGCTCTCTCATGGTTCTCCTCCTACTTATCTATGCGCTCCTTCAGTGTCACCTACAATTCTAACTCTTCCCCTCCTCTTCCTCTTTCTGTAGGGGTCCCCCAAGGCTCTGCCCTTGGACCCCTTCTCTTCTCCATCTACACCTCCTGCCTTGATCAACTAATAACCTCACATGGCTTCCAATACCATTCCCACCAGATGCTTTGGTGCTGCGCTGAGCGCTTTTTCCAATGCAGCGCCAATTCAATTTGCCTTGTCGCGGATGGGCACAGTTCCTACCACCACATTGTGGTGGTGTATCCTGAATAAAGTCCTGCATGCTTTACTTTTTTCAGAGCAGCAGGATGCGACACAGTACAACCGGTGTGCAAAATACTGTTCCCATAGAACGTAATGAAATGTCACTTGTGACTTTTTAATAAAGTTCTGAAAAAAAGTATACAGAGTGATGTGGTGGGATTGGTACATCAGCACTATACTGGTCACCTCACACCATCTGCTGTACGATGTATCGCAGTGGCTGGTGCAAATGGACCTGTAGATGTTTCCTTGGAGTAGGGCTTCGGGCAGACTGTGAGCTACTCTGAACTGAAAGTGGACAGACAAAGTGGGTCAAGTGACTCTCAGTTTTCTCTTATACATACAACACAATACAATTGCATACTTACAATCTCATACAATGCAGAACCCAAGCCCTGAGACTTTTACCCCTTGTTAGGATAGACAGTTTTCAAATCTAGTCTACAACTGATAATATGATCTGCCAGTACAGTACAGTACAGACTGGGTTAATTATGGTAAACATTAACTCCCTAACACGCTCATTAGCATAACATAGCAGGAGAAAACCTATTTTGTGAGTTTTTGGACCACAGATTGAACAATAGCATGCAATGCCAGGCTGCGGCAAACAAAGCGAGCAGAGTGCTGTCTTGTATTAAAATATATTCTCTTATTGTCTCTACAGAATATTCTGTAGAGACAAAGCGATAATTTTGCCACTTTATAGATCGCTGGTTCGGCCTCATCTTGAGTATGAGGTTCAGTTTTGGTCACCAATCCAAAGAAAGGATGTCCTATAGCTGGAGAGAGTCCAGAGAAGGGCAACAAAACTAATTAAGAGGCTGGAGGATCAAAGCTATGAGAAAAGGTTGCTAAATTTAGACTTGTTCACGCTGGAAGTGAGGCGGTTAAGAGGGGACATGATTTTAATGTACAACATGTTTAGTGGTGATGGTAATATCAGCAATAAACTTTTTACTGTACACTCCCTAACAAAGACTAGAGACCACCACCTAAAATTGGTGATGAAAAAATGTAACCACAAAGGGCGTAGGTGCTTCTTCTCAGTTATAGCGGTTACATTTTGGAACTCTCTGCCACGAGCTGTGTTATCGGCAGATAATATTGAATCATTCAAAAATCAATTAGATACTGTCCTAAGAGACCGTAACGTAAATGGGTACAGGTACTCTTAAACCACACAGGGACACATAAACACACATGCACGCACCAAACACACAGACACACAAAGTTTGAACTCGATGGACATGTGTCTTTATTCAACCTCAAATACCTCAAATACTATGAAACTATGTAATTCTAAGCAGCAATTAATTTTTTTTATAGATATGCTATGTGAATGGGGACATATAACAAATATAAAGTAGACGTTATCCCAGTATGGCTGTGAAAATGGAAATGCACTACAAATGCAAATATCTCCAATACATGAGCCCTTATTGGGACATCCCTTACTAAATTTCCACATACTAAACCGTACAGAAGAAATAAAGCTGAATGCGTGGCTATTAGGCTTTACTGTGTGACCATTCCTGCCCTATTCATGCATAATGGCAAACTACGTGGCCTGATTCTCAATGACACAAGTGGGGCAATTACATGTCTGGATAGTAGTCCTAAATAATGGCTTAAAACTGCACACAAGAACCTCTTTGAAGCTTTGTGATATTATGGAATAGACGAGACTCTACCAGATCTATCTGCTTACAGGGAGGCTGATGCAAACTCAGCACCCAGTATTACAGGTTTTTACCTCATTACTATATACAGGTGAAACTCGAATAATTAGAATATCGTGCAAAGTTCATTTATTTCACTAATGCAACTTAAAAGGTAAAACTAATATATGAGATAGACTCATTACATGCAAAGCACGATAGTTCAAGCCGTGATTTGTCATAATTGTGAGGATTATGGCTTACAGCTCATGAAAACCCCAAGAACCCCAAATCCACAATCTCAAAAAATTAGAATATTACATGCAATCAATAAAACAAGGATTGTACATAGAACAATATCGGACCTCTGAAAAGTACAAGCATGCATATGTACTCAGTACTTGGTTTGGGCCCCTTTTGCAGCACTTACTGCAATTACTTTTGCACGATATTCTAATTATTCGAGTTTCACCTGTATAGTGTCACTATTTCCAGCATGAAAATCCTCAGTCTCTACTTGGGAAAAAAAGCAGGTGAATTTTATTGTACTTGTTAATGGCAGCTTTGAAGTAGGAAAATAAGTGATCTAAATGCATAATAGCCAGCAGCTATTGCATACTATATATTTCAAAAATCTGAAAGGGGTTCTAAAAATGTTTTGGCTGGAGTAGTGCATTGAATACATTTGATAAAGTTGCCCATGAACATTTAAATGCATTTGCATTTAAATGCATTATCAGGGGAACTGGTGCAGACAGAACCTGGAGCAGCTGTACGTAGCAACCAATCAGCTTCCCTCTACAGTTTATTCAGTTCAATTTTGGAAATGAAAGATAGAAGCTGATTGGTTGCCTTTCACAGCTGCTCCAGATTCTGAATGCCTCAATTTTGATAAATACCCCTCTCTGTTTTTGTGAGTGGAGAGGGGAGTGGCACCTTTTTTTTTAAACTAGTAATCTGCAGTGGTCTAAGGTCCTGAAAATCATCACATTTTATACACTGTGAGTTGAGTATACCTTTTTATTGTTAGCACCTAGACAAAAACGAGCAGTTAACTCTTGCAGTTGTGCCTGGAGTTCTTCTTTAATGCATTTACCATATACTATATCCGTCATTATTTCCAGCCATGCGTTTGTTATTTTCAAGTCTCATTGCTGAATGCTAAAGACTGTTATGGCAAGTAATGATTGTTATAGCTTAGCACAGCCTTTCTCAACTACGAATGGCAAAATCTATTCAGAAAAGCCTGAAAGTTAATCTCAGTCCAGGCCTGCTCTGCCGCCTGCCCTCTGCCATGCTGCTGCAGGTGCGGGTCCTGGTGGGATGGTAGGACTCTGATGTGAAGGGGGGCTAAGGACTCTGATATGAAAGATGGATTGAGGACTCTCATGTAAAAGGAGCTTCTGATGTGCAGGAGGCTACTGATGTGTAGGGGAGACTCTTATATGAAAGTGGGCTCCAATGTAAAGGGGATATGAGGGGGCCTTCTGATGTGAAGGGGGGGGAGCACCAGAAGTTACAGGGGTGCGTCCTATGTGAAGAGGGCTCTTGATGTGAAAGAGGTGATGATATGAAAGCAGGGGGCTCTTATGTGAAGAGGACTCCTAGTGTGAGAGGGGGGGCTTCTGATGAGACAGGAGAGGGATCCTGATGTGAAGGGAGGGGGCTCCTAATGTAAAGAGGGGTCCCTGATATAAAAGTGGACTTTGATGTGAAGTGGGAACTCCACTTTTACTTTCTTTGTTTTTGTGCGGTGTCCCCACTTAAAATCCATTACATTTTACACTGGGGTGCCTCCAGATGTTGCATACTTTTAAAGGGCACTGTGATTCAAAAAAAGGTTGAGAAATGTTTACTTAGTAATTATAGTATTATAAAATATATAAATATTTACATACAAAAATGTCCTGTTTACCATAAGTTATGAAGATCATCAAAGAATAAAGTCATGGTCAGTTTTTCCCTGTTGCATATAAAACTTTAAAAAGACAAAATAGGTCGTTTTTGGTTTATGAAAAGTGATGCAAAGTGAGAAAACTAGCATGAAAGTGAAACATAAAAATGATCATGTCTTGTCTTTTGAACAAAACAACAAATTTGGTTGCTATGAACAAAAACTCCAGTTTTGATCAATCACAGACTGAAAACAGACACTTGTTAAATTTGTATTCATGCTGTGTAGCAGAATACCCCCCAATACATATAGATTCATTGCAGAGAATGTTAGTGATAAATGTTACTAGAACAACTGATTTTCATCCTGTGTAAACCCAACATAGGCTTTTGCCATTGTAGACCTTTTTTAAAGATCTATTGGCTTTGAAGGTTCACCTTTGTGATGTTGTCATCTTCAAACAAATTATTGGATTCATAACCCATCTGTTTAGTAGGGCAAACAGTTTTGTGTCTTAAAGCAATTATGCTGTACATGTGTGTCGATGTCTACATGTTGTATATTGTTGTAAACACAAAGAAAATCAAAGAATTGAGAATGATCAATTACCAAAAACCCTATTCAGTTACGAAGTACAACCTTTTATGTAACGATTAATATTTAAACCAAGCATAAATAAAACTTTGCATGTTGCTGGTAGACACTGTTACTTACGACAGTAATACAATATAAATTAAAAAGCAGAGTTGAATGAAGGGTGAAAAAACATAATTCAGTTGTTCTCAAAGGATCAATTATTCTGTGACTCCCAGCTACAAATCCATATGCATTTAAAGAGTATGATGTTTTATTGTGGCACCAAAGGAAGCTTGATATGATGTTAGATAAATGACAGGTTAAGAGATATCTGCCAGTGACCAAGGGCCTTGTTTCAGCAACATGTGTGCTACTTTGCTTGTTTGCTGTTTTATATAAAAGAAGGAAACACGCTAAACATTTTGCTGAAAGCACTTATTGCCTTCTAAGCCAGGGGCCCTCAAACTTTCTAAAGCAAGAGCCAGTTCACTGTCCCTCAA